ATGAAAGGGCAGTGCTGCTGTGGTGGAAGGAGCCTTGCTGTAGAAGAACAGTTGGCAGGTGCGTTTCAGGGTGAAATATGATTATCCAGAAACATTTCTGGTAGAACTAGTTTGCAGAAATGCACTGGCATTCAAAGAAATGAGTCATGCAGATCTTGCTCTTTATTCTGTCCCTCCTAACAACTTCCTATGGAGTTGGTAAGTATACATGCTGTATTGTGAAGATCCATCTTAATAATGAACTTTGTGAGGGACTTCTCATTAAGAGCATTGAATAAGAATACCACAGTGTCTGATGCCAACTGTTCAAAAGGAAGGGGAGTCTAGGTGACCACCAGGAACTGGCAGGGAAAGGAATGGCTAATCACTTTTCTACATTTCTAATGGATCACCTATCTCTGTAAAACAGAACTTATGTATTATTAATTTATTGTCATTTTACTAATCTTGTACCAAGGCAGGGTACGATTATCATTAACTATACAGGTATCATTTTAAGCTTTGCTATGGACACTTTACAAGAGTTTAGCTATTTTAATGATGTATGAAAGTTTCTCCAGCACAGTGTTAAAGCAGAATCATTCTGCTTTCCAAAATTAAGGAATATGTCCTCTAAAACACTGTTCAGATGGTCTCGTGAATTGCCCTTATAGATAGGTTCTTTTTTTTTTTTTTTTTTTTTTTTTTTGCTGACCTTTAAGACTGTGTCCGCTAAGTGGCACAGCAGGACCTGGAAGTATAAATATATATCCTGCTGTCACAGAGCAGCGCTCTGCCAGAGCCTGGCAGAATCTTGTTGGCATAAACCCAGGGGCTGAAAACCAGCCAGGGTGAGTTTAGGGCTCGGTCCATGTGTGTGATGAATGTGCTAATAAACTGATTATAAAAACACCATTTCTAACAGGAAATGGTGTTCTAACAGTTACAAATCAGTAATACCAAAGCCTGGGCCAAGAGGAAGGTTAATGTATTCTATTGCAAAGATCTGTTTCATCTGAGATGAGAGTTTGTCATCAAAACATAAGTTAATTCTGCAACTGTTTGCTCAGGAAATGTAACAGTAAATGCTCTTGCAATTTTATTACTATTTTATTTTTCTATCTTTCTAAGGTGTGCTTCCCAAAGCCTACAAAATGTATCATCACAACAGCTAAATGTATAATTGGCTACAGAGGATGCATTTTCTGAAAGTGTTTAATATGTGTAATAGGGAAACTGGATGTGAAGATCAGGAGAATTGAAAGAGTTTTCAGTTTAACTCAGAAGGATAACCCCCCACCACGATAGCTTTCTCTTGTATATATCAAGTGCTTGTATATATCAAATCTTGTATAAAAAAAGGACATATCCAAAGATGTGCATTGACATGGTTTATCCTATTGATATCTGGGATGTAACATGTAAAGTAAAAACTACACCTTGGAATAAAATTTGCATGAACAGGACCTTTACTGGATTTTAGGAGTATGAAGGTTTCCAGTAAGTAGACAGGCTTCCTGTCTTCCTGTGCCGTGCAACTTTTATAATCTTTTCATGTTATCTTTCTTCACCCTGATTTTGAAGATAATTTCCTTTTTTGATCTTTGAAAGGGTGTTAATTGTAAACTAGAAATACTTTACTAAGCCCAACTTTGCACAACTGATTGTCTTGAAGGAAGTTTATAGGTGTTTAACATACTACCTGAGTGTGTCTTCTACTGAAAATGCATGTTATGCCTCAGGGACATTTCAGCAGAAATCTCTTTATACAAATGCAGCAGAATTAGAGTTTGTACTATGCCTTCTTGCAGGCTGTTTCTGGCAACATTTCACAGAATGGAGTGATACATAGCAAAATGCTGGTAAATATGTAAATGATGAGAAAGATTCAGCAAAAAGGCAAGTAATTCCACAAGCAATAGAAGTTATGAATACGGATTTTCAAGAATTGTGTGTTGTGGTTTGATTCTCAGTTATCTTAAAAGTAACAACCTCTGATTGATTAAAGCTTTTCCCGCAGCTATGATGTACATTACTTTTCTCTATCATGCGAATTTGCTGAGTATATACAAACTGCATTGCAGCAATTTTCTGTGTAGAGCACTATTAGGATTTTGTTCATCCATACACCAATTTCCATAAAACTGGAACTTCACATTGATGAGAACCATAGTCTGTAAAATCTATTGGAAATTGGCTAGGGAGGGTCAATAGCTATTTCTGAGAGTCTGAGGGACAGACAGGTAAGCACATGAAACTTGTTCTGACTGCCTTAAGAGAAAATAGAACATATGCAGACTTGAGGGTTACATAAGTCTCATTTTAAGGAACCAAACTAGGAGCTATCAGATAAGATTTATAATGAATTATTGCTTATTTTTTGGTGCTTTTTTTTGGTTTGTTTTTTGTTTTGTTTTGTTTTTCCAAAGCAAAGGAACTAGTTAAGTTGCGTCTGAGGCATGAAGAGTTCCATGTGTAAATAAATACATACAAACATAAATATAATGGAAGCCTATGTATACTGTATCTGTGAAACAAATAAAGATAAAATAAAGCAAAGAGGAAAAGTTTAGTGAGATTCTTTGAAATAGGTTGCAAATTAAAATAAATAATAATTACTGGATTCTAAAATGGAAGAAATGCCTGGAAAATGTTTGCAGTAGAGATGTACAACTGAGAGATGGATCTTCTAAGATTCCATACAGAAGAAACAGAAGTAACAGAGCCCCTATCAGCTGAAGAAAAAACTAGACTTTGTTCCGTTGAGGTGAAAACAACAGTAGAATTGAAACATCTATAAGAAGGGAGGAGGAAGGATGGGGACTTATTGTGGAAAGCTGTTCTGATGTAGAAGAGAAAGCAGCTTCTGTGCTTTCCTATTTCTGCTGAGAAAGCAGCAGAGCAAAATCCCAAATAAACCTCCATTGCTTCTGATGCACAAAAATAAATGAGAGCACCTTTCTGCAGAAATTGGCAGAAAAAGGAAAGTCTAAAATTAAATATTGTGGTTCAATTTCAGGATCACAAAAGGAATTCTGTTGGATCTTCTGGAAAGGTCTTTCAAAATTGAGGAGAGTTGAAAAACTAGGAGCAGTATTTACCATAACCAATGCAAGAGGCAATAGTAGGAGAGAATTAAGTAAGTTTGTACTTTAACAAATTCTACAGAGACATGAGTTCCTGCTCACCAGAGCTGTCACACCATAAGAGCCCTTCTCTTTAGGAATGACTTGTGGGAGCAGCAGCTCAAGGGACAATGCAACACAAAGTTAAGAGGCCTCCTCCACACTGCAGTTTCAGCTAGCTCTGTCCTTCCTCTGGCTGGAGGCAATGGGCTGAGGACCACTAATTAGCTTTTGTGTGCTTCAGTCCTTGGAAGTAAGCTTCTGAAATTTCATTTTAAAAACAAAAAAAAACAAAAAACAACCAAAAAAAATGCTCTTGCATCCGTTAGATACCTTATCTTTTTTTTTTTTTTTTTTTTTTTTTTTAAATTAAAGCATGCACACTGTGTATTTTACAATACTGTCAGAGAGGTCAGTTAGCCCTTGGAGAGAAAGGTTCCCAAGGGAGGCTTCCCAGGGAAGAACATGTGTTTTCCAGATAGACTGAACTGGCTTAAGTCTGCTTTATGTGTGTGCATAAGCAGTTATTGAGTTGAAAGCTACAGATGTTCAGTCTTAATGTTGGAAGGAAAACTGATAGCTTTTTATGCCTTGTGGCTTGTATCATAGCTAGAGATGGTCAATTCAGAGCTGAAATTTTTGCAGATACATCTTTTGGTAGCAGTAAAGAGCCCTAACGTATTTGTGGCCTGTCTTGCCTTTTGCTTCCTGCCCTATGTAGATAGGTAGAAAAGATTCCCTATGAACAACAAGATTATTGGCTTGCTGCTATGAGGTGAATTCTTGATCCATCGAACTATCAGACAGCTAGATCACCGAAGTGGGGAAAAAGCAAAGAACATAAAGCTTCTTCTCTTCTCTCTTCTCTTCTCTTCTCTTCTCTTCTCTTCTCTTCTCTTCTCTTCTCTTCTCTTCTCTTCTCTTCTCTTCTCTTCTCTTCTCTTCTCTTCTCTTCTCTTCTCTCCCTCGCACTGAAATAATGAAGTGGCAATTTACCACTTAAATCCATTCCTCATGTCTTTTTTCCATTTGCCTCTATCATCCTCTCAACATATTCTGTCAGAGCAACAGAGAAGATGTCAGGTTGTAAAGAGACCCACTAAACCAGCCTTCCCAGAGGAAAGTGTTTACTCGTTTTCTGTGATTTTTGATACAAGTTGAGGATGAAAAGTTCTGAATAAAATTTAGCCAAATGTCATTCAATGACATGCTCATGAGCACTGTTACAGAGCACTGTCAGAAGACTATATTTAGACTTTAGCATATTATCATAAATATGTATTTATACATGCATATATGCCATAGAGACAAAAGCACACAAAAATACATAAACTAAAGAATTATTTTTAATATATGTTAGAATATTTCTGTGTATGTAAACATTTGGAAAACTTGTGCAGCAGAAGTCACTGTAGGCACTAGTATTTTAACTCAAATTCATGTAATTTTAGTTACAGCTTCTCAACCTTGCACAACAGATGCTATAAATCTCCATGCAGTAGGAGGCTTGCCATGTAGGAGACATATTATACACTATATCATACTAATTCCATTATTTAATAAAAGGCTACCTATTAATTTTTTTGTAGCCTAACACTCGATCTTTTGCCCTATAACCATAATGAATGGAAAACTACATCACTTGTTTACATGTACACAAGCAATTTTTTTTCTATATATTATTGATAGCATTTGTATGGTTAATAATTCTAGTAAACTATAAAAAACCCATTTAAGTGTTTAACTTTTGTGAGAGTAGGACAAAAAGCTCTGCTAGCATAAGGTACAGGATGCCCTTATGCACATGCAACTGCTATAGACTTCCATATAGTCTTAGTTCCACTATGACTATAACTTTCTATCCATTTAAATAGTGTGCTATGATAGTAATCACATTCTTAAAACTCTTTGGACTGCTTTGATAATGTTTCACTGTATTCCACTAGCCCTCATTTCAATTTATATTTAAAGCAGCTATAGTCTAAACAGATCAATAGGTACATATAGTTTAAGAATTATCATGGTGGTTGATTACAAACAAACGGTAAGATGCCCCTCTGTGGACATTTTTCATTCTTTTTGCTGCTCTAGAATGTCTTCATAGAGAGCATCCAAATAAATAAGAGAGTTTAGGACTGTGTTATTAATACCTTGTTTTTGGCATTAACCCATGTTTAAGTGCCAAATGTTGGTGCCATTTCGAATGGTCTTTTTCTGTTTTTGAGTATTGAAGTGCTACAATGTGAACTGCCCAGCTAATGTCCCGACTAGTAATAAGCAAGTAAAATACTGGTGTGAGCCAACACATTTTCAAACCTGAATTTGAAACAAACAAACAACATCAACAACAAAAAAAGAGCAGCATGCAAAACATCCTGGTGTAGGCAATATATCCAGCACAAATAAAAGAGAAATATGCAGAGATAAAATATGCAGTCATAGACATATTCTGTATTGATACCTTCTGAAAAATTCCATGATGATTAATTCTAGGTGGCAATCAGGTAAAAAAGTGTGTACCAGTCAGAGATATAAGAGAGTTCCTGCTTGATTCAGAAGAGCAAACCACATGTGTGGTTCAAGTCATTGTTTTTGGTTTTATAAACATACTGATACAATTTTCAGAGACAGAATTACCATCCAGAGGATCTCAGTTCACAGAACATCACATTTATAGACAACCTACTTGCACCTCTGAATTATATACAAGGTGCACACTTCTGAATTGGTGCTGTTGTAAGAAACACACACCGGGCTGCCTGCTGAAATAGCTTTCTTGTGACTTCTTTTTCCTCTTTCATTCTGAAGTGATGCCAGAGTCCTTAATTTTCAGTTTATGCTGTCTTTATGGCTGCTGCGATCTGTATTGTGATTTAGTTCTTGATTTTTCCACTGGATGCTTGTTCCATTCATGGGCACTGAAGTCACTAGACTTTTAGACTGAGAGCAGCAACAGCAAAGACATGACTGGAAATTAATAAAAGAAAAAATGATTAGCATGATTCTGCCAACCCTATGCAGTTTGCCAACATATCCTTTGTGAACAGATTGTTTTAGGTGAAGAGAGAATGCCACACCCCAATAAAATTTTTGTCATAAAATTTGATTTGTCATAAAATTTTGTCATAAAATGTAAATAATTCTTCTAATGAACTAACAAAAGATAGCAAATCTATTTTAATCAACTATTGTATTTTTCAAAAGCGCATATCAGCTATTCATAGCTGGAAAGTTTTTTGGAAAGTTTTTTTTCTTTGCAGATAAAACTACTTCAGTCTTCCCTTTCACCATTGTCTTCTCCACTATTTACTCTTATTTTCTTTCTTTCTTCCTATGTGTCTCTGTTGGTGAAGGGTGACTTGCCTAGACATTGTGATAAGGAAACTTAGCCTTGTAATATGTTTTGCTGTGTTGCAACTAGAAAAATGCAGGTAAAAGACATAGTGCTTATTTAATTGCCGAAGTCAACTCAGGTGTCTAACTTTGGTATTCAGGCCTGAAAATTTTAGTCAGGATGTGATTGTTTAACTGCAGGCAGATTGGGTATGTTCTGTGCATGTTTTTTGTCCCCCCACCAGAGTGGGAAATACATTATCAAACCAATTCTACTTCATGTACATACCACGTGCAGATAAACAGTACTTAACAAGAGCATGACTATCTCAGTGCTTATTTACAGATGAGGACTGTGTCAAGCTTATTTACTGGTTTAGCATTTCAGATAATGAGGATAGTTTCAGCTCCCAGTTTGGTATGTGTGCTATGTGACCTGCTAGCTAGTAAACTGGATAGTTTATAACCCTTCATTCCTTTACATGTCTCTCCTCACAACTGAGGAAAATGGATAGTAAATAAATGGCTTAATAGATTTCATGAATTAGATCTAAAATCTCCTCAACAGTATCTTACCTGGAAGCAGTTTTTGAACTTCTTGCTCACAAAATAGAGAGCTATTGGGTTTATACAAGAGTTCATGGTTGCCAGGTTGATGCTGATATAGTCCAGCGGCAGCAAGAAACTAGGCAACAAAAGAATAAAGAAAACATTTAAACTCTCTATACTGTCACTGCGTCTGAGCCATTTTTGGTTGCAGTCTCTGTCCTAGGTTCTGTCAAAGAAACTATTCCCTGTCAACTAGCTCCTTCAATCTAATCTTTTACCATGCCATATCTGGGATAACCTGTCTCACAGAAATTCACAAAAGCAAGAGGAAAGTGCTTGCAATAGCATTAGACAACATTTACTGTATTTTTTGTAACCCATTACAGCAGAAGTCCCTGAAAAGAGAAGGATGTGGAAAAAAAATCAGAAAATACAATCAGTCCTTCAGACATGGGTTACATGCGTAATGACGTTTATTATATAATCTCCAATGTGCTGCGTTTATATTTATATTACATTTGTATTACACTTGATTAATATAAGAAAATAGGGTACCTGAGTAGTTCACATCTGCCAGGGTCTCTTTCGTTGTATACCATTTTTTTCAAAATTCGGCTCAGATGGAGAGGGAACCAGCAAAGAGCAAAAATCACGACTAGACAGAAAACTGTCTTTGCAACTTCTCGACGCTAGAAGAAGAAGTAAAGATAATGATTATTGATTGCCTAGTTCATATTGGTAGGTGCCTACAATGCAGTGATGTAGGCAGCAAATTAAGCAATCTGGATGGGCATGCAAGGATTCCCAGAGCAGGACTGCTGGGCTACCTGCTCTCTGTGAAACCTTTTTTATTGAGCTAGTTCTTGAAATCTGGCCGTCCTCAGCAGAGCTGACTGATCAGTTAGACTACAAAAGCTAGAGCACATGGGTGACAGCGGCTGTCACCGAGCTGTCACCTAAGGAAAAATCCATTACTAGACTTTCCTGAACCTGACTCCATTCCCAGCCATTCCTATTACTCTGCAACTCAAAGTTTTCTGGCAATCCCTGGCAATTTGTACGTTCTGGCATAAATGCATCCTCCAGTAACCAGTCCAAGCAACATGGCAACATGGTTATTATGGGAAAAGAGGGAGGGAAGGCTGCCTCCCCCCCGCCCGACACCATGCTAGTCCTGCCAGGGGGAGTAGATTATGTGGGGTGCTGGGAGAAGCTGCTGAGAGAAGCAAGTGGAGGGTCTGCACGATGGGGGCATCTCTGGTCTGCACAGGCTGCAATGGGCCAGCAGGGCAGGACCCCTGAGAGAGGGCACTGCTGTAGGGATTCTAAATCGAGGAGATTTCTAAATCTCTACATCAAAGGAGTGGGATTTGATGGGCTAGAGTTAACATTGTATCTTATTGTGTGACTAAATGCAGTGAAAAAAAAGTTACAAATTATTTTTAAAATTCCAATGAGGAATGAAGCATCAGAATGTGCTGCAAAAGCACCAAAGTGAGATTTGGCAATTTTGTGAGTGACTTTACTCTGTGATTACTTGTTTATGCAAGCCTCCAAATGTTCTTTTTCTACAGCCAGTACAGTTAGCATAGTGGTACTTCAACAATGAAACAAGCTTAAAAAATCCAGCTTATCCTAAAACTAGGTTACTCTCAGTTGTGAGATTTTCTTTGTTTGTTTGATTTTTTTTTTAGGACACAAAACTTGTGCATCAAAGTATACCAAAAAATAGGGAGGCCTCGTGGAGTTCTGTCTTTATGAAGAAAATTTGAAGGTTTTTTTTTTTTTTTTTTGGCCAATCTTTGTCACTAAATTCCAAGGCCAGCGAAAGGTTAAAGAGCGAAACTGTCACACTTACGAAAAGAGCTGAGCTTCCAGAACACGTTGTCTTCAATATATCCTTATTGTCTTCAATATATCCTTATAATATGATCTCTTATGTTTCAGGCTTGACTGAATATCTTAGGGTCATAAATAGCCTACACCTTCACTCTCTATTTTTATAAATTATTGTGTTCAGATACATTTTGATACATATTTACCTGCTTAAGATGTTCACTGAGAGCAATTCTCAAATTACTGTTCCTTCTGTTTAACATTTCACAAGTCATTAATGTGTAAAAGATAGCAGTACATGCCAGTGGCATGCAGAAATAGAAACCAAACAGCCACCAGTCCTTCGCGTCTTTGTAAAACTGCAGAAAAGAAAAGAGAAGGTATTTTCTTAAAATTCAAAGAAAGTAGCACAGAAATGTAACAGACAGTATGACAATTGGTGTGGTTCTTTCAGAGTCCAAGTCTGTTGGTAAACAGTACTGAACTATGTCAACTTTCCTATCGTTTTGATCTATTTCAGACTAACATCAAAGCGGGATTTGTGGCAGTGTAAATACTTAGTTTACCTTCCAGTCTCCAGCTTGTACCTTTGTTTTAGTCTGTTTTGAGTTGGAATTAATTAATTGTGACCGTGGTTTCTGAACGTGTACTCCCATTTATGAAAACTGGAGCTCAGTTTTCACAAAAATGACATGCCCAAATGTAGCAAGTGTCAGTTTGCGATAACAAATCTCACTAAAAGCCTCGGGAAATGCCATTTACCTCTATGGCTCCTGTCCTGATTCCAAAAAAGGAAGGTTCAAAATGTCTTGCAGGCTTAATCATCTTGTGTTATCAGTGAAAAGATTGCAACTTGGTTTGCTTATGTTGTAGGCAGATAGAGGCCACTTCGTAAGTATTTGTCTGTTACGTGCAATACTGAAGACCAGTGGCATCCAGTGTTATAGTTACTTAATTTTAACTCTTTGCCTGCCATTTATACCATATGACTTTTGTGACTGGGCACATTACTGTGCAGTAGCATTACTCTGCTGTGTAATTTTAACTCCTCATTGTGGTTTAAGGCTTTATGTATTTAGAATTGTACTTCTCTACAGGTAATGATATTTACAAACTTCAGAAAATATTGTATTTTAGTATTTAACTTTTATGCTCAGCCAAGACTGTGCCTTGAAGTATGACATTTTAAATGCTTCCTGCCTGTATGTTACTAGTCACTGAGATGGATGCATGCAAAAGGGAACCTTCTTTCTCATAATCTTTCCTTCAGTTTGTTTATCCTTAGTGGATGTGCTCTTGTAGCATCACAGTTCCCACACCAAATGTCAAAATGCTAATAACTGAGGATTATGTGAATCCCTTTTGAAAATGTCAGACATCTGACATCTTGTTTACATTTAGAACTGCATAGTGCAAAACTTTGAAAGGTGAAAATGAACCTAATTTAATAGACCTGTATCTAACAATGATATTTTTAAAATTTGCTTTAGTTATGTCCAAAAGTAGAGTTTCTGAGAAAAGGGAAATGTTCTTAATTTGTTTCCCCTCCCACCCTGGTAGGGAGCATAAGTTGCTACCAAGTTTGCTAGTTTAGCATGCCCTACGTGCCCTGCTGGTATCTAGGCCACAACCCCACCTCAAAGGACATTTTGCACTGTGATGATTAGCTTGTTTTCTCCTCATCATCAGTCTCAGCCCTGGGAAAGGAGGGGCTGCAATCCACTGCATAGCTGTACTTCTCCTTGGCTCCCAGGGGCTGCATTTCCCCCCGGGAACTCAGCTTCTGCCAGGAGAAAACCAGAAACCAGTAGGCTCCATATTTTAAGAGTGTACTGAGGAGAAATATCCTTCTGCAGAGAAAAAGACTGCAAATACATGGAGATTATTATTTTTTTTTCTGTGGAAATTCTTTCTGGTCAGACATGAAGAGTGTTGGCTGGGCAGCATAGCAAAACGTGCACTAGGTGAATCCGTGCTGTGTTTATGAGGCAAACTGTTTGTGCTGCTTGCCTAACAGCTTTCGTGAGCGCGTCCCGCCAGTCACAAAGAGCACACGGCCAGTTCTGTGCCTCAGCCCTGACCTGTGCACTAGTGCTGCACAAAGACCTGGCTTTGTGCAGTTGCAGAACCTGCATGGAAATGCCTGCAAATGATTAATTATGGAAGCTGAGCTTCACAAAGCTTACATCAAAGCACAAAATGGGGTTGATTTAAGAGGAATAGACATTCTTTTGTTTGTCTTGAAAGTCCACATGGAACTGGTTTTCTACAGGAAATGTGCATTTTAAACAAGTTTCCTAGTGCACTCAACCCGTTGGGAATCATGGTCAAGCATGAATCTTTCAAGTCTTTCAAGGATTGCTTTAAACATGAATAAAGCTCCTCTTAAAAACAAAAGTTAATCTTAATTCCATCCCAAAGTTTAATGATTGTTTGTTGTGGTGTTTGTGGTAGTAAATATGATAGTTAAGTTAAAATGTTATTTCCATTTTAATATCATGTTTTTACTTGCTTGCAACTCTTGAAACATTATCATTTTGAATGAGGCTTCAAACACTTAATTCTCAGCTTGAAAGTAAATGCTGGTTTATTTCCTGGAAAATCCACTTGAGGCTGGGGGGACTTGGTGCTTTTGAATTGTACTGAGCATGTAAAGGATACTAATTACACTAAGAGCAAAAGAAAAGAAAAAAAGAAGAAGCTCTTCTACTTACTGAGTTAAGAACAGAACAATAATCATGAATATTAACATGCCCTCAAAAGACAAAAAAGTCTTGAACTGTGAGGTTTTGGTGAATAGTGAGGAGAAAACCATTCTTAGGGAGAGAAAAAGTGAAGATTGTCCAGGCACATTTGTGGAAAAAAAACTCAGCCATATAAAAGCAAAAAGCCTAGGTATGCTACAGTATATATTTCATTAATTGCATTCCTGTTCTTAAAATATCTACAGCCATAGAATCTGTAAACTTTAGATATTGTAAATCCTGGGCAACTCTACTCCCTCTTCACCTACATGATTTATTTCCATCAGGGAATGGCTTTTGTTTTCTCTTGCTCATGTCTCTAGCTGTTTCTGCCTTCCCTGCAGTCTGCATAACCATATTGCCATTGGGGATCTTCCACTGAAAACCATAAATCACATACCCCCTTTATTTTCTAATTTTTCTAGCTCTTTTGTGCCTTCTCCTCCTCAGTTCTAGCCTGCACTATGTTCTCATCCCATAAAAGGAGAGGTGTCAGGCGTTTGAAAACAAACAGAAACTTGAACTTTATCATAAAAAAAATCTATTTCCAGAAAAAAGAAGGTGGAATTACCCTTAAAATTAAGACCTTGCATTATCTACCTTCTCTCAGACAGAGCAGAACAATCATCGTTTTTCATTGCCGAGTGAGCTGTAGCTGGCCCTGCTTTAGGTCCACAAAGGAAAATATGAGAGACCTTTCTCCATTTTATCAGTGGAGGGTCAGGCTATCCCTCTGTGTAGTAAAGTTAACTCTGGAGTGGCTTTTGCCTTGAACAAGCTAATGTTGGCATTGACAGCTGTTAAACCACAGCAGCATTGTGGATGAGGGCTATGAAACATGCCCAAGAAGCCTGATACCTGCTCAGGCACTTCTCTTGCTCTGCAGTTTGTGTTGCTGTGTCTAGATGACAGCTATCAGTGAGCAATTTCCTACGTTAGAGATGGGAGCCTGTCAAATTTGTAGACATGAATTCTTATAAATGAAGGGATTATGGTGCTTGACTTGGTGAATGGCATTTGGAAGATTTCTGTTAGAGCGTGGTCCCTCCCTTTTCCTTCTCTGCCAGACGCGCTGGCTGCTGCACACAGAGCAATGACGCATCGCAGTAAAACACGTTTCCCAGCAGTTACAAGCTCCGAGGTGTTATACCTGGAAGCACAATTCCTCCAAAAGCTCCACCTACACTGATGCTGTTCTTGACTGTACTTTAATCAGGTGTTTACCATACCTTACTGCTTTAAGCATCCTCGCTATTGAAGGAATGAAACTGTTAAGTTACATTTGCTATCTCTGAATGAAAGTAGAGATTAACCACTTTAAATGAAGAATCTTTCTTGTTCCAATATACATTGGAACACATTTTACACTTTAATGGATGAATAAAGCATATTTATTACACTGTTGACCCTAAAAAGAAAAAAAAAGGATGCTACTTACCAGCATAAAATTATTTGTAGGACTGAGCATGCAGGTAACATAACTTTCATCCTTGTATCTGAAAGGTACCACAGCAAAACCAATTGCTTCTGGAATAGCCAGTATAAAGGACAGAAGCCAAATAGAGAAAATTTCAATAGCAGTGATCATAGGGATCCCGATTCCCTGAACACGGCTCCAGGAGGCAACTGCTCTGTACCTGCAAGAGACAGGCATTAGACTGCAATCTCCAGGATCTTCCTTAAACCCAGAGCTCTTGCTCTACTTTAAATGTTAAATAAAATCCTAAGGGTTAAATAAAATCCTAAGCCACCCCAGCTATTTTTTTTTTATCTTGCATTGTGTTTTTTATATATACACTAATGATTTCTGCTTAAAGTAGGCATGGTTTGTGAGGCCAGGCAATATCAATATTTTAGTAGATCAACTTACATATTAGAAGGAAAAAGCCTTTCAGACCCAAAAGCTATTCTACAGATCTGAAGCAGCTGGTGTCCTTCAGCCACATCAGTAATAACTGCAGTGCTATCCAAAGGGAAGTCTTCTGCTTGCATACAATGAAATACTGTGAGAATACTCTTCATAATGTGAAAATGCACTTGTTTTACATTATATTTAAATATTAAAAAATACTGAGTTTATGAGGCATTTTTATATTAACCTTAGACTACAACTGAGTGTTACAGCTGTCTGGCTGCCAATTCAAGTCTTTTAGACTCTGCACCTTTCCAGTAAGGATCTGAGGTGCACAGCTGAAGAAAGACTGTATGTGCCAGAAACAAGGCATTTTCCCCATGACTTCATCCCTTAGATAGAAAGTTTCTCTGTGAAAAGAGGAAGTATTGAAACCTGCTTTCCTGTAAATATGTATCTCATAGCTGGAATCGCTGATAAAAGGTGAGAATTCTTAAAGAAGCTTTACACATAGTCAGGCATTTATAGGATTTCTCTCTTTTCTTCTTGCTATCTTTACCTTCTCCATCCCTTTCATGGTGGGAGATTTTTATTATCAAGCTGCAGTCTTTCTGCATGTCTTTCTCCTCTACTTGTCCGACAGAACTTGTAGGGATTTCTCATTCTTGAGACCTCGACATCACTACCTCAAAATTAGAGCAAGCACAAGCACGGTTTGTTTCTTGCAATAATCTGATATACATGTAGGACAACTTTCTTTCATCTGTGGCACAGCATTTCCTAAACTGCTTATTTTACTTCCTTAAAATAGTTACAGCTTCCCATCTGGAATTATAGCGCTGCATGGCTTTATTATGGCATCCACTGATGCAACATTCTTCTCTAGCTGAGGGGGGAAAAAATCAAGAAAAATGTTCCCTTACTTTAAAAATATCAGGGCAAGAGGTCAAATTAAGCAGACTAAGGTTTTATAAGGAGCAGTGTCATTTTATTGCCCTGGCTTTGGCAGGTATTCTTTTCTTCCTCAGACATGCCCCCTGAGCCCTGGCAGAGTGCTGGATGTGTGCTGCTGCCACCTCTGTTTTTGAAACTTTGCCAAGGCAGGAGCCAGGTCGTGATTTTAGGAAAGTACTGAGGGCTTGAGGGCTCCCGCCTAGCAAGTGTTTAAGCAGATGAGCGCCTCAGGTTGGAGAGTTTGAGTATACTGGGAAGGGACAGAGTTTGGATTTCGGAGTTGGAAGGGATGAAGAGCTTCTGATGAGAACAAGAATTAAAAGAAGTAGGACCCCAGAGATCAGTAAATGTCAGAGTTATTACAAGGCATCCTCCCCTTACCAACTTCTCTGAACAAAACAGAGGGAAGAACATGCAGGAATTGAAGATCAAGCTCTCAGCCCATCAGGAAAACTACAGAAAGCATTATCTGACTGGAATCTTATGCTCTGAATACCATACACAGCATAGTCACAGGCATACTAGGCACAGGCCCTTAGAATACCATTTTAACATAAATATATTCATATTAGAATTAATTTTGAATCATAATTGAGATTCTTTCATATTGTTTTTGCCAAATATCAACCTAGGAGTTCCATACTCTTGCTACTATTGAGCTGTTCTTGCTCATCATGAGATCACAGCAGTTCTTCATTTTAAAGATAGTCAGTAGTATATTGACTGAAAGTTTTTAATTTAATAATGCTCTTTTTGCTTTTTTAAATGTAGAATCTTGATTATCTAATACATTTACTGGAAGTTGGTCTGTTAGATGAAGGTGCCTTCACTCTCTCATCTCACTTAACCTTAAAATCCTCTCATTGCCTGAGACATAAGCAATGTTTTGTAAAAACTCAGAAGGGAAAATACCCTTCCTCCTAGTTACATGCAGGCTCTGTTCAGAGAGTCAGATTGTAGTTCACATCATGACCCAGAGTTTAAACATGCCTGAGAGGCATCTGTAACAAATGTGAGCTTCCTGTGCAGGGTAAGTGGCTCGTGGGCTCTTACATGTCAGCTTCCGAAAACCCTCTCCAAGTGTGAGTGAGCACTGTTCCCCTTGGCCACACACAGCTAAACGTTAATGCACTGGATGTGGAAGCAGCACTAGTCAGGAGTGGAGTTTCTCAGCAGAAGGAGGATATAGTCAACACAGAGACCAATCCTTATAGAAGAGAACAAGCTCTTTCTCTAAAGCCTGAAGCTGCAGAGCTCTGAATTGCTTGTAACAATTGATGCCATCTAATGCTGAGTGGTACCCCATATGTACACCCACATAGCCAACTAACTATAAATAATCTACTTTCAGAACTTTTTGAAAACAAAAATGACTAAAGTTGAAGACTAGAAACAGTCTAGCTATGACAGCACAGAGCTGCCTGCTGACTGATTTTTCTTATTAAAAAGACTACTTTAGCTGATGTGGAGTTTTGGACCATATGGTTGTGCTACTTACAGTGCCAATCCCTAACTGGTAGAAAGTGCTGTCAGATCCTCATTTCACTGTCATTTAACCTGGATATACCTCATCTTAGCTATCATATGTTTTCTCAAACACATTATCTGCAACTATTAGAATAGCACCAGCTGATAAAGAATATATCCTTGGCAAAACATGCGAACGGTGAGAGGAAGTTAAATAGTCTCAGTCTAATCTCATACAAGATTTTATACTGAAAGGCTATGTGATTGCTGTGGGGATTAGTTAGTGCTTGTAAAAAATATATATCCGAATGTAAAGGGAAGGCTTCATATGAGTTACTTGCAACTTACAAAAATAGATGCAACAGCCTAGTAAAATTAAGTAAGAATTAAGTAAGATTAAGCCTAGTAGAATTGCATTTGGTCAGAACTTGGCTAGCAAATTCTGAACTTCATGTGTATTTGATCTAGGAGATACTGCTTAGAGTAATCCTCAGGGCTGTATTTTACCATTTGGGAAACTGAATTATTTTTATAGTGCCCAAACTCATAAAGGAAAGGAAATAGAGCACTACCTGCAGGAGTATGGCTTTTTGTTTTTGGGTTCAGCTTGTGTGTTAACATAGGAGTTACTAAAGCAGTAAGAACAATATTTTGGGTATGGATGCTACAAAGTCACCCATCCCTTGTAAACTTTGTATATCAGTTCTTTGTGTAAAACCAAGCAAAGCTTATTCTTAAAGTCTACATCACTTTATTAATACATGCAATGAAGTTTATTTATCAACAATTTGTGTATCAAAATTCCTTGTATATTATATAGTAAAACATGATGTAGCTAACTCAAGACCGAGAATGAAAGTTTTTGTAGAAGTGAAAACTTAATCTGCTATTGCCTAATATATATGACAAAGGGCATAAAGGAATAGTATTTAAAACCTTCTTAGCTGTTGTCATATTATCCTGTTCATGTATCTTCTTCAGCACTTCTAGCAGAGGCATTAATTTTTGAAAAATCAAAAGCTAGTTTCCTGCATGGTTTTCACTAAGATTCAATTAGTAATATTTGTTATCGCAATTAACATGGTAATTATATTCCACCGGCAGTGAGTTGACAACAGTCACAATTATTTTTAAGACAGATTTGAACGGTAATCCAGGATTAGAATACAAAAATTCTTCATAGCCGGGCATATGTTTAAAACTTTTGCTTGCCTTGTGCTATATGAAAAAAAATGGCTTTTAGTAGGCAGAGTTTAAAAAATTGTTGTGAAATAAATCCCAATAGTTATACTGAATCCTATATGCTTTTGAGAGCATGAAGAAGAAACTGTGCTAAATGTACGTGCAGGTGACTGCTGAGGAGACCATTCTGAATGCTCCTAGTTTGAGAAAAATATGGCAAAGGAGAGAAGAGTGTCTGACAAAAGAGCAGAATATACTGTACCTGTCCACACTAAGGGCACAGAGATTAAGGACTGTGATTCCCACTGATGCCTTCTGTATAAACGGAAGGAATTTGCATAGGAACTGTCCAAATTCAGAATCCCCAAAAGGCCACTTCTGAGCAAGGAGCTAAAGAAAAGATACAAAATAATCAGAATATTTTAATAATAACTTAGCAAATATGTATTGACTATAATTGTTTCTCGTTTTTAGACACAATCATTTTCACCGTTAGTCCTCCATAGCTCAAGCAAATAAACCTGGATGGTAACACCTGCTGTAGAAGCATGAAAAGTGAGAGCGTAAGCATTGATCTTCTACTGCTGTAATAGTAACTAACATTGTTAAAAGATCTATTTTTTAGTGAACTTCAGCCAGTGGAACTGAAAATCTACTTTAGCCCTGTTATAGCTGGTTTTTATTACCATGTCTCCTCTGAGAACCAACCATTGAAAGCATAACTTGCAGTTCATAATAAGATACTTCATAGCCAAATTCCCGTGCTACACGCAAGTAGATTCTTGTCATTGTAAAGGGACCGCTGTGTAACTCATGGCAGTGTTCACTGCCAGATTCTTAAGTGTGTGGAGAAAACACTGTGCATACATAATTTGCTCCATATTATGCTTTAAGGACTAACATCATACATGTGAGCTTTCTCCAAGGCAATGGAAAGGCACTCATTTAGAAAGATGTGGCTGAGTGGCTGGTGTTTTAATTAGTATTTCCTAGACGGCATTAACATAACCAATATGAATACATTCATTCCTGTGAATAATTAGTAAGTAAACACTAATCTTTCTGCCTGTAACTGTTAATGCTTCAAACAAGTAAATATTCAAAATACATGATACAAAATTATTCAGGATAATTAAATCTATAACAGACCACAGAGAGTTACAGATGATCTCACTGTACTAAGCATCTGGGCAATGAACTGGCAGTTTAAGTCCATACAGAATATTGAGCTCTAACTTAAGCAAATACCACTCAGGAAAGGGATTGTGGTGTTACCATGGCCAGTTCTTCTGAAAAATGAAGTTGTTAAACCTTCTCACCAGAAAAGGATGGATGGTTCTTGCTCTACAGTTTTCTAATCCTTCTCCCCAAGCCTTTGCTACTCAACCTATGTCAGAGGTAGGATATTAAGTTCTTTTTCTGACATGGAATAGCTGCTCTTAGACTATTTTCAACTTCAGTTCAAGTGGTGGCATAATACAAAGAGTTAGATTAAAAGAGCCAGGCATACAACTTTGGCACCATCCTAGATGATGCTCTGTCTATCTCCTGCACAAATAGGGAACATTTTTCACTGCAATACTTAGTAGTAATCATTGTCTCATTGCTACATATGGATTCATCTTCTGATTTCTATTAAACCATACTGAAAAAAAGGCTGGAACACAGAATATTTTGGTGATACCTTGAAAAGGTAATTCTAGATCTTTTTATTTTCTTCAGAGAAGTTTAGCAAGTGATATATTTTAGAGTAACAATTACAAGCCAAACCCAAGCTTGTGGAAGCTTCTGAAATCTAGTTTTGCTGAAATTCTGTTCTAGACCAGAGTCTCGGTTTTATGTAACTAAAAGAGATTTAAACTTCACAACAGTTTTATTTGCCAACATCAGCAAAGAATGGAGATTAGTTGGTGTGGCATAGCTAGCATCTCCAGTAAGTACAATATGTATGATGTATTATGAGCAGAAAGAGCAAGGATCCACCTTCTCACCTGCATAAATGTACAGAGGGACATTTCTTTCTGCATACAAAATTGAGTACAACTTTGCATATAAAAATTAGTTTAAATTAAATTCTTACAGTAATAAATAACAGAACCTCTGAAACATAAACTACTACCCTAGAAACTTTTGTAGCAGAATAGTAGGATCACTAGGATTGGTGGTTTAAATATTGTAAATAATAATGAATGTAAAGAGATTATACCTGCAAATTCTCAAATATTTCCTCAGGTTTTATCTCTATTTGATAAACAAATAGAGGAAAACTTCAGATGATTTATAGCTAGACATTACCATAAATATTTGCAGGGCATATTTTTGCTTTTTGCCATTAATTAGTGCATCAGGCTTTAATTTATGTCAGGGGCCACTGAAGTGCTGTTGGAGAGAGAAGGGCTGATTTGGAAGGTAATTCTCTAACCAATCATAGTCACATGGAATTTCAGCTCTGAAATTCAGATGAAGGTTTTAGTGCAGACCCTGGATAGTCTGTAATCATGCGGTGTCTGCATTTGGGCCAGATCACAATAGTGTTCAGGTACCCCTGGGTAAGGTTAAAATAGAGGGGCACTGCCAAGGGAAAGAGTTCCTAGTAGATTTTTATCAATCCCCTGTGCCAACCAGAGCCGCCAGGTTCATTTCTCTCATTTCTCATTAGTGGTCCCACTTCAGGAGGCAAGGGAAAGGCAGCCAGCTCTTCATTTACGTGCACTGAGAATGGCTCTATGTATATCCAGCAATGGAAATGAACAAGCACTTTGTAGTGACTGTGAAACTCTGGTACTACAAAGCAAATATTAGCTTCAAAAAGGAAAGTGCTGTACTTAAAAAGGTTCACTTAGTCATTACTCTTCACAGGGAAGCTTTCTCAGAGTTCCAGCATGTACACATCTCCACGCCCCAGGAAGCTCTCCTTTTTTAAGATGAAAAGTATTTTATTCCTTTTGTTTTTTACCTTTTTCCACTAATTGACGTAACATCAGTATCAAATGATTAGACGTTCTTTTCAAGTTGATTTTAATCAAAATGATTGGTATCAGGGATAAGTTACTTGATTTTTTTAAGATGAACTTTACTATCACTTCTGTGAGTGTAGTGCGTTATGATTCCACATCAGCTATGCATTCATTACTTCTCTGTGCATCAGGGGCCAGTTTCTTCCTATGCAGACATTTTTAGTCAGCAAATCAGATCCTGTCTCTGGTTATGCTAATTTTACACCAAAACAAGTCCATTGCCTCTTTTCTACCCTAGCAGGATACGGAGATGTCAGAGGGAATGGCATATTTATTTTCTAAGAAGAATTGGGTCCATTAGGCCTCACTTACATAGGTAGAAGATAAAGACTAGGAGCACCGGCTCTGCTCTTTCAGTGCTTTTGCATGTTTTAATGTCAGAACAAAATGGGTATTTTCACATATTTACAAAATTTTAGTGGTTTTTCAATCAAGGCACTAGGACAGAAGAAGGAGGCCCATTATCCCAACTTGTATCCCACATCTCCTTGATTTGAACAAATGGATTCTGTCTCTGCACCCTCACTGAAAATCTCAGAGGTTTCAAAATGAGACGTGTGGCAAAGGAAATATACTTTTCCCCATGTGTATTTTGCAACCCTGGAGGGTTTTGAATGTGGTGCAATTCCCAGGAGAGTGTGTGTAGTCAAAAGCATGTTTTTACACTGAAATCACAAGCAGAGATTTCAAGGTTCTACTGTCAGTCTTAAGAAACAGCTACAGCTTTCCAGAGTATTCTCCTCTTTGCTCCTTTCTGTGGCCTTTTTGCCCTGACGCTGCAGCTTGAAGCAAACAAGACAGCAGCGCTGAGAACATTCCTTTGCAGTGGTTTTTAAATGTCACTCAGTTGGTTTTAGTCTGCTGCTGTTGCTGTTTTCTAACCCCTGTTAGTGTACTAGCTGATGTACAAAACATAGATAAAGCCCCGCTCTGCATCCCAACCAATTTATAGTGTAAAGAGAGAATGTTATAATCCAGAGACATGAGCATTCACCAGTGCATGCTCATGTGCATCCACAGTGTTTATCTAATTCTAGACTGATACTGTGTGTTTACAGGCAGATGATGACCCTGGAGCTCAGCCCAAAATAGATGGGCTGGGTTGAGTGCTGGATATGAAATAACTCAGGGCTGCTCTATAAAAAATGCTTTGATTGAACAGCTACATGTTAGGAGGTCTTCTTTCTCTGCCTCATGGTTGCTGAGGATGAAAGCTGTTTTCAAAGATTTATAACTACTCTTTCCTCCTCCCCTCTTATCGTAGTGGTTTAGAGCTTTTCTCCTTGTTTCCTCGTGGGACTGCTGTTCCTGTGCTGACACACAACATGTTTTCTCCCCAGAAGGCGAACTGGTTTTCATATAGACAATGCTTCCTCCTCTTGGAAGCAGCCCTCATGCAGGAGATCATCCTGAGTTTCATGTTCCCATTACCAGTAAAGATCCTGATGGCACAACTCATGTCGCTGTAGCCAGGGTTTATGTTCCATCTACGGCAAGTCACCAGAAATACCCTCCTTATTCCTTGGCTGCTGTTCAGCTTGGGCAGTGAGCAGGACAGGCACCAAGGCAGCAGAATTCTAGTTGTACAGACAGCTTCTGATTGTATAAATAAATGGCATCTGCCAACTGTGCGGTAGGAGTTACAATATCAGTGCATTATCCTTTCCCTGTAATATTGCACAGATTGAAATTCAGGACAAATTTCTCCGTTTTTGTCATATTGTTAGAGTTTTTTTAGCGCTAAATTCTTCTAGGAGACCTTGAGCTGTCTTGGTGCAGCTCTGTCTTAAGTTGTGGTCTGTAATAATGCTCTTGTAAAGCATGTCTGTAAGGTTTCAAGGTACAAGCCACACACAATACCTGATGTTTAGTTGGAATTCAGATAAAATTTGATTGAACATAGTGGTGACCAAGGCCTTTACCCCTGCGCTGACTGCATTTCGTGACAAAAGATGATGATTCTGACTAATGCTTTCCATCTGACTCTGATCTGTGAGACTGGTTGGTTGGGAAAAAGAGTAGGTCGAGTCTCCTACTTGTGGCATTTTGATTCCATGACTCAACCCACCCTTGTGTTTCCAGGAAACTTCATAGCACAGGAAATCACTGCTATATACACTGATATATGTTATTGCCTATAACCCCTATGCCCAATATAGGATTACATTGCAGAACAGCCCCCATCCTCATCCATTTCTCTCTTGGGACCTGCAGATTGTTGCTCTTCTCACATGCATGATTCACCTGTGCTGCAGTATTTTGCTGGCAATGGCTGTAAGAGTGGAGGAGAAAGGAGAATCTATCTCTAACTTTCCTTGCCCTTGTCTTTCTTTCCCTTCTGTTCCTTCTCTTACCCTCTTCTGCTCTCCCTAC